TGGTCTTTTTGAGACAGAGTCTCCCTGTAGCCCCAGCTGTCCTGGAACTTACTATGTAGACCAGGCTGGCCTTGAACTCACAGAGATCCATCCACCTGTCTCTGCCTCCAAAGTGCTGGGATTAAAGGCATGCGCCACCATGCCTGGCAATATTTTGTATTTAAATATTTTTATTTGTGTGTATATATGTGTGTATGTATGCCACATGTGTACAGGTAACCACAGAGGCCAAAAGAGGGTGTCAGATTCCCCGGAACTGGAGTTATAGGCAATTGTGAGCCACGCAGTTTGTGTAATGGGAGCTGAACCTGAGATCTCTGGAAGAGTAGGAAGTACTCATAACCTCTGAGCTACCTTCTCGGGTCCCCCCTCCTGAAATTTTTATAAATAGTCGTGTATACAGATTCTCTGTTCAGATAATCATTTGTGAACTTAATGTTATCTGTTAAGTTTCCATGTTCCAAAAATATACAACTGAAAAGAATTCGTGTTTTTTTTTGGGGGGGTGGGGGTTGAGTTTTTTTGAGACAGGGTCTCCCTGTAGCCCCAGCTGGCGTGGAATTCACTATGTAGACAAACTGGACTTGATCTCACAGAGACCCACCTTTCTCTACCTTCCGAGCCGGGACTAACTGGCTCTAAAAAGAATCTTTCTAACAGTGAATTAGACATAGGCTTGCTCTAAACAGGAATCTGCAGGCAAGAGCAGTAGCTTGAAGGTAAATGCTGCTTAGGTGTAGACTGAAGCCAGGAAATGGAGAAAATGATACTAGAGGAGACTCAGGAACCGCTTATGAGAGAGGAAGACCAGAAGATGCCTTTGAGGAGAGAAGCCTGGTATTGTTCTTTTTTTTAAATTTTTTTTAATTAAATTGAATTAAAATTAAATTTTATTTTTAAATTAAATTTAAAATATTTTAAAATTTAATTTATTTAAAATTAAAATGCACAAGGTGCATACATACCTTGTGTCCCTGTATGTGAGTGCATCTCTGCTGTGCAGTGCCCACGGAGATCAGAAGGGGGCAAGGGATCCCCTGGAACTGGAAGGTTGTTAGTTGCCATGTGGGCTCTGGGAATCGAACTCAGGTCTTCTGCAAGAACAACAGTGCTCTTGACTGCTGAGCCATCTCTCCAGTCCTGAAGTCTGGTTCTTAAACAGTAAAGGAATGTTAAGGGAAGGGGCTAGGGCAAATGGTTATTTGTAATCAAAAAGTACTCTCAGTCATGAATATGTACTTATAGGTGCCCTGGAGATTGCTTCAGATACACTCAGCTGTTTTCTCCTTTGCCATTATCCACTGCTGCCTTCTGAGAAAGTGGTGTTCGGAACAACTCTTAACGTCTTGTTACTGTGTTTTCTGTTGTTGTTTTTTTTCAAGGAGATCTCTTCGCTTCTACATTTCTCATCAAGAATGGGGCTCTTGTCAGTGCTGCCACATTGGTAGCCCAAGAGACACCATTGCACCTGGTGGCATTGTATAGTTCAAAGAAACACTCAGCAGATGTGATGTCTGAGATGGCGCAGATTGCGGAGTCCCTCCTGCAGGCTGGTGCCAACCCCAACATGCAGGACAGCAAGGGCAGGTGAGTGCAGAGCTAACATTGTTTTCAGCACTAACCCAGAATCAGATTTTACAATTTTACAACACATAATTGATATAAAGGGCATTTGCTATATTAAATCTGATGTTGAGGTTACAAATGTTTAAGTGGGGAAAGCATTTGTATCCTGGCTAATTGAAGTCTGAATTCCTAAGTAATTTCTATAATCTTCATGTTGGAAGGAACCAGAGTAGTCATCTAGTCACCTCTTCAAAGAGGACTTTCTTTTAGTAATTAGGGTTCCTTGGATAGTTTGAACAAGAAGAACCACTAATTCAAGGTGGTCTATTTCTGTGCGGTTAGAAAATTCTGTTTTGTGCCCAATTCTGTCTTATAAGTACCTTCTTTTTTTTAACAGGTAATCGTCACAATTTGCTTGGCTTCTTCAATGCACAGCCCTTTGTGTATATGGTAGTGTTTCTGTTGTTTTTGCCCCTCTCCTGCAGGAGGTAGTTGAGGATTCCTTGTAGTTTAGACTTTCAGGAAGGGCTACCTGTCTTTGAGGCAGAAGTATGGGAGGCTCTGAAGGGCAGTTAAGGCCCTTGCTCACCACCCCCAGGCAGGGCACAGGCCACACCAACATCACAACTCAGTGCTTGGAAAATCTACCCAGGGGCTGGAGAGTGGCTTAGTAGTTAAGAGTACTGGCTCCTCTTACAGGGGACCTGATTCTGTTCCCAGCACTCATATATGGCTAACAGTCCTCCTTAACTCCAATTCCAGGGGATCTAACATACTCTTCCAGCCTCCAAGGGCAGTGCATAACATGAGTGGGCTTACATACATGCAGGCAAAACACTCGTTCACATAAAATAAAAATACTTTAAAAAAGAAAAGAAAATCCAGAAAATAAGAGACTTTGGGGAGCTGGAGAGATGGCTCAGTGGTTAAGAACACTGGCTGTTCTTGCAGAAAACGAGGGTTCGAATCCCAGCACCCACATGACAGCTAACAGCTGTTCGTAACTCCAGTTCCAGGGGATCTGATGGCCTCTTCTGTCTGTGGGCATTGCACGACATGGGTGCACTTACATAAATGCAGGCAATATACTCATACACATAAAATAAAAATAATAAAATAATTTTTGAAAAATATGAGATTTTGTGAAGTTGATTGTCAGAATAGTATTTGTACAGTGGGTAAAGTACAGAGATAAAGGGAGAGATGGCTCAGCAGTTAAGAGCACTGGCTATTCTTCTAGAAGTCTTGGGTTCAGTTTCCACCACCCACATGGTGGCTAGCAACCATCACTAACTCCACTTCCAGGGGATCAACACTCTATCCCATATACTTGGTGTGCTTAATGAACTTTGAAGGCAGAGCATTCACACATGTAAAATAATAATAATAAAATGCAATAAGATGACTCTTCAGGAACTCTGTGCCATGTGATAATTGCCCCTTTCTCTGAGTAATTACATCCTTCATTCTTCCTGTTGATTCTATGTTTTAGCTTTTGTTTTTCCTCTAACTGCAGTAAACTCTGGCAGTCTGTCCAATGGAGGTAAATGCCAAATTCAGGGCCTGTACTCTGCACTGGCTGCATTTCGAGGCACTTGAGTGCTAAATAAGCAGTGAAGAGTGGAGAATGCAACTTAAACCAGTTCTGTCCTGTTGCTGCTCTATGTGTTCTAGTGTAGTAGAAAATTAGGGGGAAGGGAAAAAAGTTTCTTTTAAAATTGGTAGGGGGTAGGTAAGGGAAAGTATGCATATCTGATAGAAGCTCATGTTTATAAACAGCACACACATTCAGGAAGAAGTTAGAATGGGGTAACAGGCCACTGGCCATGTATGCAAATCCATTTTCCTGTTTTGATTCTTGGTCATGGTTTTGGAAAGCAGTCACAGGAATCTGGAATTCGTTGTGGACAGTGATTCTGCCTGCTATGAGTAGTTCTGAACTGGTCTGTCCTGAATTGACACTTCTTTCTTTTTTCTAAATCCTCAGGACTCCTTTACACTTGTCCATCATGGCCAGGAATGAATATGTGTTCAATCAGCTGCTGCAGTGTAAACAGTACGTAGGGCAACCTGCACAAATGAAAAGTGGTTGTGAGGGTGGGATTGTGAGTGAAACAAACTAACTTCCATTTATTTATGTATGTATGTACATCTTTTTGAGACAGGGTCTCCCTGTAGCTCCAGCTGACCTGGAACTCACTATGTAGACCAGGCTGGCCTTGAACTCAAAGAGATCTGCCGCAGCCGCTGCCTCCCAAGTGCTGCGATTAAAGGCATGCACTACCACACCCACTTCCTTTTATTTTTTAAAAATCCTTTTTGTGGGGCTGGAGAGATGGCTCAGCAGTTAAGAGCACTGACTGTTCTTGCAAAGGACCCAGGTTCGATTCCCAGCACCCACATGGCAGCTACGACCTGTCCTTAACTCCAGTTCCAGGGGAATCTGATGCCCTCTTCTGACCTCTGCAGCATTGTACAACATGGGTGCACTCACATACGTACAAGCAATACACTCATACACATAAAATAAAAATAATAAAATATTTTTTAAAAAAGAAAAAAAATTATTTTTGTTTGTTTGAAACAAGGTCTTACCATGTAGCCCTAGATGATCTGGAATTCAAAATCCTCTGCCTTTAGCCTCCCAAGTGTTAGGATTACTGGTCACTATGCCTGGCTTGAAAATGTCTTTTATAATGCCTTTTAATGTTATAAACTTTAACTAAAATAAAAATGTATCATTCATACAGTCCAGGGAGAGAGTCTCTGAGACCTTTGGCAGCACAAAGTGGCTGAAGATTGTGTTTGTCATTCCTTATTTCAGGTTAGATTTAGAGCTAAAAGACCATGAGGGGAGCACTGCTCTATGGTTGGCAGTGCAATACATCACCGTGTCTTCAGACCAGTCTGTAAACCCCTTTGAAGACCTCCCTGTGGTAAATGGAACATCATTTGATGAAAACAGCTTTGCAGCCAGGCTCATTCAGCGTGGCAGCAACACTGATGCCCCTGATGTGATGACAGGTAAGCACAGTAGACCCCAGCATGTGATGCTGAAGTCCAGGGGTTCTGGGAAATGACAGATCATTGGGTGTTTTATTATGGTTTAGGGGAGGGGTGGCTAAAACTGACCTCAAACTTAGTATGTATGTTGCCTAGGGTGACCTTGAACTTGTGATCCTCCTGTCCTAGTCTGATGGGATTATAAGCATGTGCCCTGCATGTTTCTAATGAAAATTTAGAAACTGAAGCTGGCATGGAGGCAGAGGCTGGCAGATCTCTGTGTGTTTTAGGTCAGCCTGGTCTACGTATTAAGATCCAGGCCAGCCAGGGCTATACAGTGAGACCTTGTCTCAAAAATTCATTAACTGAATGCCTTACTATCATGAGAATTATTTTGTACTTTTTTTTCTTTTTTCTTTTTTTTTTTTTTTGGTCTTTTTGAGACAGGGTCTCCCTGTAGCCCCAGCTGGCCTGGAACTCACTATGTAGACCAGGCTGGCCTTGAACTCACAGAGATCCACCTGCCTCTGCCTCCAAAGTGCTGGGATTAAAGGCGTGCACCACCTTGCCTGGCTTGTACTTAATTTTATGCACAGTAAAAGCTCAGGTTCTGTTTTTTGGGATTTTTCTGTTTGTTTTTTAATCTTATACTCCAAATAATTAACCAGGAATTAAGTTTAAATCTTTTAAGTTGCAATATATCTCTTAAATTAACGCAGTGATTCTCAGACTTTTAAGATTTATTTCATTTTTTGTTGTGTCTGCATGACATGGTGGAATGTGCATGTGTGAGTGCAGGTGCTCTGGAGCTAGAGTTACAGGGGCTTGTAAGCCACCTGGTATGGGTACTGAGAACTGAACTTAGGTCCTCTGCAAGAACAGGACATGCCCTTAACCACGCAACCATCTCTCCAGCCCCAGATTCTCAGGCTTTATAGACCCACAACTTCTTTTACCCTCTTAGAATTTGTATTTCAGAGTTTTTGAGTGGTTTATGCCTTCAATATTTGCTGTAGTGAAGGGAATAAAATATTAGAATGTCTTTCCTTTCCTCCCGCCCTCCCCTCTCTCTCCCTTCCTCCCCTCCCTCCCTCCCTCCCTCTCTTCCTCTC